TCTTATTTTCAGGTGATCATACACTAATAAAAACATACCAATGAATATTTCTGCCAGTAAATCCTCCTAAATATTACACACTGGACCTTTAAATCACATATTCAGCAAGAAAATAATTACTTTTTGCTTTGTAATTACACAGTCTGCCACCTGCCAGCCACCTGACAACCATTTAGACCAGCATGAGCTCACATGTGTGACTCTTTCTGACTGAGAGAAGATGTAGGTTTACCTTCTTGCCAATGGCATCAGATGTCAGCTGGTTGTAGTGCATCATGAGCCACACCAGATTGGTTGCATTGACAAGAGCTGAGTCAGGCACAGCTGTGATGGCATTGTTTTGGAGGTACAAGTATTTCACACGAGAGGGGATGGTTGGCATGGCTGTAAGGCCCCGCCCATCACAGTACATGGCGACTGGGAAGGAGGGGGGGCAGTCACACTCATCTGGACATGCCCCTCCTGTGGTGTCTCCCTGCAGGGAGCCATAGCTCTGCCGGCTGTACAGCCAGGCAAAGGGGTCCCGTCCATGGGAGAGAGAGAGTGGAAGCAAGGCAGACAAGAGGAAGATAATCACCACACGCATGGTCATAGTCACAAATCTTCAGTGTAATCTAATAGAGACAAAGACAGAGAGACAATGCAATACAGTTCAAAATAGAAATAAAGTAATTCACAAATTAACAAAATCATTTATATTGACTGATATTTCAGTATATAAATATCATTTTCAAAGTAAAAATGTGTTCTTGTGCTGTCCCTCTGTATTAACAAAGAACAATTCCTCTCTTAAAGTCACATAGTCAATAGTCAAGTCAAATAATAAGAACATAATGTCTCCCACACCTTTAGAGAACAAGTTGCTATTGTTCAAGAATATTTTTTCCTACAAACACAAACACAAACTCAAAGTTATCAATTGTATTAAATAAAGTAAAATGTGCAGTGCATTCACTGACTGTGTTTTGGGAAATGTAGCTGCCTGCAGAGAGGTACATTCTTAGTGGTCTTAACCCACAGGGAATCCAGAGAGGAAGCATTAAAAAAAGGAAAACTAGCCATGAATGCCAGCTTTGTTAATGGTTCTCACTACTGCCCCAGAATTATGGGGAAATATCCAATAATTACCCACTAAACTGCAGCAGAAAAAAAGCTCAAACAAAAATATGACACTATCATCATGTGTTTATTCATCTCCTATAAGTTTTCATAGAAAAATACCACAAGACTAACAGACACATGTTCACACACATGCATGTACATACTAACACACGCACTTACCTGATTGACTGGCCCTCCTTGTCCCCTCTCTCTCAGAGTGTGTTCAAGACTGGATGGGACTCTGACAAACACTTTGTAGAAAAATGTTCTCCCCTCCCTGCTCTCTTTTCCGTTCTGCCATCCCCCCCTCTCCATCCCTCCCTCTGATCCTTCAGTCTTGGTTCCTTCCACCCCCTTATCCCACCGCCTGCACCCCATTTTGTTCACTCAGGCATGGCCCAACACACCCCACTCCAGAGCCTCTTTTTCCACTAATGTAAATGATGTGACACACAGTGGCTGTGAGGGATTGTTCCCATCTGTGTGCAGAACATTCAGTTCCTTTTAGCAGAACCCCACTATTTCTTCAACATTTAGACCTTTGCACCTTTTCATTTGATACTTCTGGTTCACTGGAACCCATCTGAACAATGCAATACACCGTCAGATCCCCTCCACTGTTGTTACAGCACCTGAGAAAAAATAATTACTGTGTGAGAGGTAGTGTATGTGTGCAATTTAGTTTATAGTGTAGTAACTTGTTACTGTGCAATATTTTCTCAGCAACAACTAGGTGGACATTTTAATAGTGAATCCATATCCTTGGCAACTTATTTCCTGGTTATGGTAGTTAACAGTGTGAAAGTGTCTGTAGAATCATGTCATTGTTAAAGGTGATTTATAATCTTGCAGCAATAGTCCTGACAATAATAGGATAAGTGACAATACTATACAAAGATCACAGTTTTTTGCTTTCCATCATTATTTAAATATATAGCCTGATAATGGATAACAACTACCATAGTATTCAAATGCTCTTCTGCCCACATAACAAAGATCCCTGTGGCAGCTGACAAAGTTTTGTTGAAGAGGTGCATCCAACTCTCTCCTTTCCTGTCCAACAGACTTACATCTTGTAAAGGATTAAATGAAAACATGTGTGACAGTCCTCTCATGTTGTCTGTCTGGTCTCAATGTGGACCTCTTCCTGCTCTGTATCTTTTCTCTGACACGAGCTCCATTTGAATCAGTGTTTTCCCTCGCTTTTATCTTTTAGCTCTGCAAACAGTTGAAGATGCTCCAATTCATTTGATCACTTTTTTCCTCTCCCCATCTCCTCTGTTTCCTGTTACCTTCAGACATCTTACTATAATGTGACAAGGGAAGAGTAGTGTGATTGTTGCATAAGTAGCTAAACATGTTTGCAGGGAAGATGGTGTGTCTGGGTATTATTTGTTTGGAAATGAGATTCTGTGGTTTCAAGTATTGCAGTAAGTATAGAGCAAAGACAGCACTAAAGAAAGAGTCATTTGAATCTATTGAAAGGATTTCATGTAGACTATAAACCCCACTGGCTTGTGTTTCCCCCAGAGATGAGGGGTTGTTGTTTTCTTTACACCCTCCTTTGCAACACCCTCCCCACAACATGTAGGAATGACACAACAGTGTTAAATGGGTAACTTGTTTAATCCTGTACGCCAATTTAAATCTTCAGATGTGGAAGTTATAATGTTTGCCACCAATGTGAAAGACCTTCCTCTGCTCTCCCAAAAAGGTCAAACTACCCTACTTTTGCACAAAAGAAAAATTAGAATACCATACCCTGTTTCTGAGCCCCTCTCATCTCCTCTGCGATAGTCCATTAGTGAAGCTTAGCACAAAATTTGGAATAAGAAGGAAAGCTGGCCATAAAAAATACACATTGTGGTTTTAGAGAGGGTTATATGCCACACTATTTGTTGGCTAGGCACACTGACTTCCTGATGTTTTTGCTGGTTGCCTAACAGAGTTTGTTTTCCCAGTGTTTATGCTAAGCTGTCGCCTGGCTGCAACTTCATATTTCACAGACATATATAAGAGTGGCATCAATCTTTAAATCTTACTCTTGGCAAGAAGGCAAGTTCCCAAAATGTCGAAATATTCCTTTAAATCCGTCATCTTGCTTTTAGCATTTGTCAAAGGGCTACATAATCTCTGTGAGTGATCAAAAAGCAGCCACTGCTAACTAAAGTTTTACTTTGAAGAAACAGAATAGGAAAGACTGCAATGTAAACTTAATGCCTTACACATGTTATAAAAGCTGGTTGTTACTTGGTGTAGCCATTGTGTCCGACGTCTAACAATAAAAGGCTTTATCCATCAAAAAAGGGAATAAGGGAATAAAGGAATAACCAGATGGCCACTTTGAATTACAGCTGAGCTGGAGAACTGTGAAGAGGAATTTACAAGGCTAAGATTGTGAGTGTGATTGTGAGGAGAACACTGGCACCACGTCAAACTAGAAGAGACAAACAGTTACATAAAGCAACATATTCTCTACTGCTATTCTGTAGTTTGTTACTGCAGCATCAGGAAGCCCTTTCTGTGTGTCTCCAGGCAGATGTGGACAGCAGATGCAGCAGAACTGGTCAGCACTCTGCCCAGCACTACACCAGTCATATTGATTATTTTAAATGTGATTTTAGATGAGTAATGGGACTTACTTCTCAACTTTTTTTTCTCTAAGCAGGTCAAAGGGGCTGTATTGGAGAAGCAGCTGTGAACGGAACCAGAATGACCTCCAGTCCTTTACTTATTACTGAGGACTGACAACCTTATGAGGTTAATACCTCTTGAAATACCACATCAAAGGCCTGTTTATATGCTGTGGTTAGTGGTTAAACACTTATATGTGTCCATATACAAACAATATGAAGAAAAAGTGAGAAAGAAACGGTGCAGCAGTTATCATTTAGAGTGAGAGAAATTGATTCTCTGTTGACCAGGACTTCAAAGTAACCAGTCCAGGTGGATTTTGCATAGCCCCCAACACACTCAGCCCCCACCCGTGTCCATCCTGTCTCCTGTCTAGGTCATGAGTAGCGCCGAGCAGAGATCAGAAGATCAGAGGACCAAGTCTTTTCCACTCAGGCCGTGAACTCTTCACAGGAATGTCGCAGGAATTTTCATTCTAAAGATTGTTTCTCTGGTCACTTATCTGCAGTTAAAACGCTAGTATGGAGACCATTGTTTTTGCTTGAAACTGACTAAATGGTTTTATTATGTATCGTATGGCAGTCAGATGTTCTTTCATCTGGCTGCCATACAGATTCATATGTCCTAATGCATTTGGAATAATAAAAAATGCAGTTCTTCTCTATATAAGTAAGAAATATGTTTTTCTTTCATGCCTCCGAAGGGAGAAAATTCAATGTGGAAGATGGAGACGCAACAAAAAAATGCTGTATATAAACTAGAAACATAATCCTTATTTACTAAATCTTGACATTAGCAGCTAATGATGTGATCAGCATTTTATCTTTTACTACACAGTTTGTCTCTTACAAACACACAGAACCTGCTGGTTTGTCATTTCCAAGACACTAACTCTAACCTTAACCATAATTGCCTAATCTCAGCTCCTACCAAGTCTGAACCCTATAATGTAATGTTTAACTCTGTGGGAACCAGATTATTGTCTCCACAATGTGATTTATACAAGTACTCACACACCCTGCAGCTACCAGTTCAACAGTGGTGGGCCCTTTTTAAGTGTCCTTGGCAGCAGTAGTTGTCACTCTCTTATTGTATGCCTAAGAAAATATATTTTGTTATAACTTACATACATTGTTTGATTTTTTTAAATGCATTACACTAATAACACATATTTATAAAGAAGATGCGCTCATGATAATATACATGAACAAACAAGGTCTACAAATGATAGAGATTCAGTTCAGTATATTCCCTGGACAATGTGTCTCCTTAAGGTAACTTGAACCATGGCACCCCAGGGCACAGAGGGCAGCACAAACCATGCAATAGAAAGCAGATGTCCATGCACACACATACACACATATACAC